TTTTTTTAATGGGTTGTTTATTAACTTTTATCTTTGAAATAATTTATATGACGTCATGTGACAGTTGGAAAAAGTCAAAGGGTTCCATGTATCCTTCACCTGGCTTCCCCCAATGCTGATCTTATGCAACTGTAGTGCAATAGCAAAACCAGGAAATTAACATTAGTAAAAACGGTTAGGTAGACTACAAACCGTATTCAGTTTTCGCCATGTTTACATGCACTCATTTGTGCGTGCTTATGGATTTAGCTAAAGTTCAAAACCATGCATTTCAGGGTTTTATTTCCTTCTTTTAGCAACAGAACCCTCCATATACCCCTTATATGCCCACAGAGACAAATCAAATCACATGTAAAAACTCAATCTGTAAAGCAAACATGGGCTGGGTGAGGTGTCTCACGCCTATAATCCCAACACTTTGGGAGGCCAAGGTGGATCACTTGAGGCCAGGAGTTCAAGACCAGCCTGGGCAACATAGCGAGACCTCATCACTACAAAAAGATCTTAAAAAATTAGCTGAGTTTGGCTACTGTAGCCTGTAGTCCAAGCTACTTGAAAGGCTGAGGCAGGAGGATTACTTAAGCCTAGGAGGTTGAGGCTGCAGTGAGCTATGATTATGCCACTGCACTCCAGCCTGGAAGACAGAGCAAGACCCTGTTCCCCCTCTCCCCCAGCAAAAAAGTGGGTATTTTAATGAGGACCCCATCCCTGCACCAAAAAACAAAACAAAACAAAACAAAACAAAAAGGGCCATTTTGATGAGGACCCCATCCCTGTCCCAAGCATCAACTATTTCTCTCTGAAGTACTTTTATCATTGTTAAGGTTTTGTATTTATTTTCCTGCTGGGTTGATTCAAATTGATTTTATTCAACAGGCTACAAACTGCATGAGTGCAGGAATCATTGTTTTTCATTGTTTACCATTTATTCCCAGTCTACCATGCCCAGCATGTTAAGGTTGTAGAAGCCAGCTTCCAAGATGGCCCCCAGTGAACCTGGCCTCCTGGTATTCACCCCCACTTTGGCATGTTTTTCCTTTGTGCACTGAATAGGGTTAGGGTTCCAGATTAAATACAGGATGGTAGTTAAATTTGAATTTCAGATAATTTTTTAGTATTTTGCAATATTTTACGATACATACAAATACTGTTATTCATTGTTTTATCTAAACTTCAAGTTTAACTGGGCATCCTACATTTTTATTTACTACATCTGGCAACCCTATATAGGGCTGAATGTGTAACCAATAAGATATTGCAAAAATGGGCCAGGCGCAGCCAGGTGCAGTGGCTCACGCCTGTAATCCCAGTACTTTGGGAGGCCGAGGCGGGTGGATCACGAGGTCAAGAGATCGAGACCATCCTGGCCAACATGGTGAGACCCCATCTCTACTAAAAATATACAAATTAGCTGGGCATGGTGACGCACACCTGTAGTCCCAGCTACTCGGGAGGCTGAGACAGGAGAACTGCTTGAACCCGGGAGGTGGAGGTTGCAGTGCGCTGAGATTGTGCCACTGCACTCCAGCCCAGTGACAAAGCGAGCCTCCGTCTGAAATAAAAAAAAGAAATGGGCCAGGCGTGATGCCCCATGCCTGTGATCCCAGCACTTTGGGAGGCTGAGGCAGGTGGATCGCCTGAGGTCAGGAGTTCGAGACCAGCCTGACCAATATGGTGAAACACTGTCTCCACTAAAAATACAAAAATTAGCTGAGTGAAGTGGCGTGCGCCTGTAGTCCCAGCTACTCAGGAGGCTGAGACAGGAGAATTGCCTGAACCTGGGAGGCAGAAGTTGCAGTGAGCCAAGATCATTCCAGCCTTGGTGACAAAGCAAAACTCAAGTCTAAAAAAAAAAATGCAGAAATGACAGTGTGACTCCAAAACTAGGCCATAAAAGACCCTGTGACTTCTGCCTTGTTCTCTCTCGCTTTGCTTATTTTGAGGGAAGCTAGCCACTATGTCATAAGGACACTTGGTAGCCATATGTAGAGGCTCACATGGCAAGAAACTGAAACCTGCCAACAACCAGCACCAGTTTGCCAGCTATGTGAGAGAAGCACCTTGGAAGTTAGTCATTGAGCCCTGGTCAAGCCTTCAGATGACTGCAACCCCATGAACGACCCTGAGTCAGAACCACCCAGCTAAACCACTCTCAAGTTCCTACCAAAAGAGATTATGTGAGATAATGTTTACTGGTGTTGCAAGCCGCTACATTTGGAGGTAACTGTTACACTGCAATAGATAACACATAGGTACTCATTATTTGTTCATGACTAAATGAATAAATGACTGATGAAGACTGTGGTTTCTCCCCTTACTGTGTTTTGCGGATATGTGATTTACAGATAACACCCCAAGCCTATGGAACCTCATGTTCCAGCTTTCTATATAAGGATAGTCTTCACGAATTCTTGAAAGATAAATAGGGTAGAAACCATCTGTAAGAAACATTTAGAGGGAAACCAAATTGCTAATCTCAGCTGATCTGGGTTCTCAATTCTGCCAAGTTCAGGACACCATATATATATTTTGGGACAAGATGCAAAATAAGAATAAGCCATGTGCAACTGTATAATGTCACTGTCCTAGAAAAAGTACATGTGCTAGTCTTTAAATATATCAGCTTTGAAATGCCACTTATGGATTGTTTCTATGGTACCAACCTATTTAAAGTTGTAACTGAGCGAGGATTTTTTTTCCCCAAATCTTTTGTAGGCAATATGGAAAGTGTGCTGTATGGCATAGGCTGTAGAAATAAGAGGATAGGAATGTGGACTCTGGGGTTATATCAAACTACCTTACAAGGTTGATGAATCAAAGCGATGATGTCTGAAGAGTTTGGCTCTGTGGCCCTGAACACACAGGAATCATGATGTGTGACCCTATGCATGCTTTTGCAAAGAAAGCACCTGCCCGGGTGTTTGAGCTCCTGGGTTTCAGGCCTGGCCCTGTCCTTAAACTCACTGTGTGGTGCTGGCACCTCCCCTCTGCCAGGGCCTCCCCCACCGCCTCAGCTGTGAAAGGAGAGGTATAGACCCATGAGTGTTGCAGAGCCCTGCCAGACTCCTCCTGCCCAAGGAGCCTTGTTGCTTGGTAACCCCTTCTGCGAAGGCCACATGTCTAAGCACCTCATTGGGACTGCAGAAATGAGTGTGGATGTTCCCAAATCTCAAAGCAATGTTTTTGTTTTTCCCCCCTGGGAAATGACATGGGATCACGATAGATATGAGACCTTGAACCTAAAGCTCTGGCTGCCTTGTAAAACTTTTCCTTGTTTTTCAAAGTGTGGGCATTTGATCCCAGAAATCCTGAAAAACCATGAATTTTTGAGACTGAAAGGGGTATGACATTGGGTTTTTAAAAATGAAGGCTGGCGCAGTGGCTCACGCTTGTAATCCCAGCACTTTGGGAGGCCAAGGCAGGCGGATCACGAGGTCAGGAGTTCGAAACCAGCCTGGCCAAAATGTTGAAAACCCATCTCTAATAAAAATACAAAAAGTAGCAAGGCATGGTGGTGCACACCTGTAATTCCAGCTACTCGGGAGGCTGAGGCAAGAGAATTGCTTGAACCCAGGAGGCATATGTTGCAGCGAGCTGAGATCATGCCACTGCACTCCAGCCTGGGTGACACAGTGAGACTCTGGGGGAAGAAAAAATAAAACAAATAAAAAAACAAAAATTAGCTGGGTGTGGTGGCATAACGCCAGCTACTCGAGAGGCTGAGGTGAGGCATGAGAATCACTACAGCTGCACCTGTAATGCCAGCTACTCGTGAGGCTGAGGCAT